GGTATAACAAGAAATATACGCAATACGGCAAATTTATTCTCACTCGAAAATTACATTATACAAATACATGATATAGTTACTCACTTTCTTCTCACTTGACGAGTAAAATAGCAAAATCCACGATCAAGCTCTTATTGCAAATTACGTAGAACATTTTTATATACGAGCACTAAAATATTTAAATGATCTATCTAATTATGACGGGAATTGAAAGAAAATATTTCAATTATAATATAAAGAGCACCTTACATTGAAATTAGCTGTTTTCGAATAAGTAAAGTAACCTTCTCACCTGAATTGCATTTACTTTATATAAAATATTTTTTTTAAAGTATCGCGTTTCTCTTTAAATTATTTACTTAATTTGAAAATTTTTATACATTATTAAATTCAAATAAAATATAAAAATTAATCCCATACTTTTAACAATTTTTCATATTTGGTTTTTTCCATTTTAATTTTAATTCTTTTATAAAAATATCAAAGGAACATTTTAATTACAAAATTATAACTATAACCTTCATGCACGTTTTCTTGTTTTTTTTTATTATCAATTAAAGTAGATTTTAAAGACTGCTGGGACTCAATATTACAAGAATGAATAAAGAAGTAAAGAGAAAAAATTTATTTAACATTAAAATGCACGTAATGTAAAACTTATTAAATATTAATGTGTATTTACTCTGTTTAATTTAATTACTCATTATATTCAGTATAGTCCTATAGGAATTGTATATTATTTAAACATTCACGATTGAAAGAAAAAATCCCCTTATAGAGGGCGTCTTGTTATTGAACGTGTTAATGTAGCACAGGCTGTATAACAAAAAGCATAATGAGATTTTATTTTTAATTTCTTCAAAAAGCAACTTGTTCACCCTTATTCTGGGGATCATTTTGCATGCAAATATCACATGGAGTGATGCTATCACGTCTATTTATTATTCTAATATCCGTAATAATATTAAAAGTGTTACGAATTTTGACATTAATAATTGCCAAAATTGACAAAATACAATCAATAATTACGAATGGCAGATGTCAAAAACATTTTGTGCGATCATTCTGCGATATTCTTCATTATTTTCACTCGCATTACGCTAAAGTTTTCTAGATCTAATGTATGGATAAAATAGAAAAATCGATGAAATTAGTAGTTACAAAAATTATTTTATGAATTTTCATATTGGTAATTGAAATTAATGGTAGAAAATAATGACATAACCAAAGACTTTTCGGGAGACTCAAGCCAGTATTAACATATTTAAGGTATAAGATATTTTTAAGGTGATGTGGCTTAATAAACTTTTTACTATGTCAGTGGCGCGCCTAGTCAATCACATCCATCTTTTGTAAAATAGTACATTTATTTTTATCGCAATTTAAATCTAGAACCTTTTGTTGGATTTAGATATACAGCTTAAACAAATAGGGAATTTTGATAATTCAGTTCTAATTGATTTACGTTTTAACATAGAATGTTTGAAAATGACAATTGTGCTCAAAGTTCTAAAATTCTCAAAGAAATTTTTATGCTCTTTTTATAACTATTGCAAAAATATTATAAATAGTAACAGGAGCATAATATACAAAAATGTCGAATATTGATGAATTATTACTGGACCATGTTTATGCAAAAAGTAAAATCAGTGGCTTCAAGCACAAACGACTTAAGTCTGTTTTAGTGATTTCGAGATAAATGCATTTTAAACTTTAAATTAAATTTTGAAAAAAGTTATGAAGTTTTTTGAACCAATTTTTTTTTTGATTGAAAGATAATTAAAAAAGGAAGCGATTAACTCATAATCTGAAGTAAAACAACTAATAGTATTCTCTTAATTATGAAAAAAGAGAGATAGGCGGTTATACAAAATTTATAAAAAGTACTTTGCAAAGCATAACTCGACTTAGGCGATTTGTGAAAAATTACTTTTGCATTTTCGTCAAACTTAAGTCGACTTAAGCTGTTGTTGCAAAACTGAAAATATGGTTTTAGGTGACTTAAGTTATATTTAAAAGGGAAGAAATATGTGTATTATTTCTAAAATATTTGATTTATCACTTTTTTTTCAAATCATTGTCATAAAAAACATAAATTGAGGTAAAAAATGAATAAACTTTAAGTAAAAATTATTTCTAAAAGTTTAAAAATAATTTTTTCATTAAATTTAAGAAAGGTGGCAGTATCTTTTATTCTCTCTCGGATTCTCCAACTAAATATGGATGAGTATCTGCTAAATATCCAGTCTTAATCGTTTTGTAAAATTTGTAAACCAACAGATTAAAAAATTGCATCAAGTACTCTAAGTTTTTCTTTTTTGGTACTAATTTTCTCTTCTTCTTCAATTTGGAGCATGTCTCGAAAATCTAACTAGTTAACACCTCGTCTTAAAATATAAAAAATCTTTGTATCTGTTCTTGTAAAATATTTTTGGAAGTCAATTTTTTGAAATCTGTGGTGCGACTCTTTCCACTTAAGAGAATTTCAAAAAGTAATTCAATTACAAAAAGGCTTCATTGTGCAACGGATCTGACAAAGTTGTTACATTATTGTAAAAATGAGCACATAAAGTAATCTCTAAAATGAGTTTATGAGTTTTGTGTTTGTTATTTTATTTATGTACTATAGTCCATATGACTTTCTTACTTGTTCATAATGATACTAAATCCGAATTAATTAAAATTTTTAAATTAAAAACAAAATGAAATCGAGTGTGAGTCATTACAACTACTGTAATGAAAAGTCAAATTTGATACTGAACTCGAACTCGTATAGAAAATAATAATTCGATACTTGTGAAAATTAAATCTAGGAGACGTATTATTAATTACATATAGAGAATGGTTTGTGCGTCAGTTTTTCTCTAAGTTCTTCCGTAAAAAGTATATAGATCTCCGTAAAAAGTTTTGGCAAAGTAAATTGGTTCGGAATTTGCTCTCCTATCATAGAGTATATAATATTTGATTATCAAATAAACAAAGAATATTGTAAGTTTGCTCGACATTTTTATTTTAGCTGTCAGCATTTACTTTTCAATTAAGACTCCATACAAATTGACCACGAGTCAGTTTCGAGCGTTCATGTACTTGAGTGCATTCAGGAAGCCCGGTCGCGAAAGATTAAGCGAATTTTTCTAACCGTTCGGCAAATTGTAAAAGGATTTTTCTTAAAAGAATAAAAGTAGAAAGCCTTTCATATTTTTTTATCTCTACAGATATGTCCACATGCCCAATAGGACCCGAAAACTTGCTTTTGAATGTTGTCAATTTTAAAATCAGGATCATTAATACAGTCACCACGATCAAAGTCAATTGCGGTTTTCAAAACTGTATTAACTTCGGTTTTCAAAGTAAGATCTGTTGATACTTGTTTATTTACTATAGAACCAGTTTCGCTAATTTCTATGCTTCAAAACACTTTGAATCCGTTATGTTAATTTCAAATATATTGCAATACATCTAACATCCACCACAATCATTTCAGCTCGCCTAGCAAGTTCCAAAATTTTTAACGTACATTGATTAAGCGTGGATAAAGTTTATATTGGATAATTTTTATATTATTTAACAATTTCCAACATAAGCACATTTAAAAACAATAATAAATAACTGTCTTTGTAAAAAATACTTCCTTCGAAATAACAAAAATATCATAAATATTTGAAAATCGAAGAAATTTGAACTCACGGAAATGAGTAATAAAAAGTATAACAAAATATTGTTATTCCCAGATGTACCAGTTTTATTTATTGAAAAAAAAACCCTTGCAAATTATAATAATTTGAATTTCCTAACAAAATGTGTTTTACTAGTGTATAATAAAAATATTGCTTTGTAGTACAATAATTAGAATAAAACCTCTTGTCAAACACAAAAATTTGTTCTTCCTAATAACATTTGTTTTACAAGGGCATAATAAAACAACACTTTGTTTAATAATACAATTAGACCACAAAGGCAAAACAATCTACCATCAGGTAGCTAGCCACGTGTCATTTTAACATGGGAACTCCGTCAATTGAAAAAAACATTTGTCGCAGGTAAATCACGAAATGACCTACAAGATTATTTGTTAAATAAAAAAATTCAAATCTTAAACATGGGATATTTGGGTAATTAGAGCATTAATAATGCAGGTAACTTGTGCAGATGTTTTATATTTTGGGTTAAAAAATACAACTATCTTACTTGTCGCTGAATGTAAGATTTAATTTTAACTATAGTGAACAAGTTTTAAACCATGGACATAAAGTACCTACACTATATATCACATAAAATAATATGTTAAGCGTTATAAAATATTTTTTATTATAAAAAACTAAAAAATATTCTATACTGATCATGTATTATTTCGAACACTAAACGCTTAACTTTGGTTTTTGGTTCTTATTTGCACGCGTTATAAAAACCTAACTCGACATAAGAAGCCTTTTGGAATATAATTGCATTTGCAATAATCGCCTAACTCGAGATGAGTTTAAAAAACCACCAATTATTATTTTACACAAATCGCTTATGTCGAGTTAGTATTTAAAAAAATTCAAAATTAATTTTGCAACAAAAGCCTAACTCGAGATAAGCGGTTGTAAAAATTCATACAAATAAAAAAAAATGTCACTAATTTTGATTTGCAACAACAGCCTATCTCGAAATAAGTGGTTTGTCAAAAACATAAAAAAGATGTTTTCTGATCTTAACTCGATTTAGGCGATTAGTGCAAGTGCACTTAGTTACCATTTCGAGTTAGGTCATGTGTGAATTCGACAATAACTTCTGCTACAACAGTCGTAGAACCACCAAATTTTGTGAGCATATGAAACTCAAAACGGAGAATTCGCTGGTAAACATATCTCATTTTTGTCTTAACTCGAGTTAGGCGGTTTGTGTTTGAGGCCACTGAAATATTCAGCTTCCCTAGATTTGTAAATATAATATGCAAAAAATCTTTTAATATGTTTAAAAGGCACAATTTACGGCGAACGTATCGTAGTCAAAAAGTTTTTGATAAGAGTACAATCACATTTACAGTTTTGCATTTTATAGAAGTTCCATGCAGAACTTGTTATGTAGATACTTTCTGTATAATTTAAGTACCTAAAATTGTACTGTTATTTAAATTTCTAAAAAATATTTTAATTTCATTTATGAAATTACAAAATTAATTTTACATTGAAATATCGTTTATTTTTGTTTCATTTAACAATTGAGCATAGGTTAAATTCGCATTTACAGTTTTGATGGTGAGAGATCTTATTAGTTATAGCTGCACTGCAATAGAACTACGAAAGCAATGCCTGCCAACAAAATTCACTGGTATAATCCCAATGATGTTTGTCTGCTCTTTAATTAATAAGCTGTCTACGAATAGAGATTTTAAAAATATAAAAGCTGAAAAATTTTTTATGCTTTCGATTTGACAGAAGATTTTTTGCAGTTCTACTAAGAAAACTACAAAAATCTGCTGTTAGATCTTTGTTAGAACTGCAAACCGGAATTCAACCATACTTTTTATAAACTACCCACAAATATGGAAAAAACTAAATTAAGAATATTATTTTGCAAACATTATGAAAATTCTAGACTTCTATTTCATAAATTTTTTTGTTTGTTTAAAATTAATTTTTAAATATTTATAATTATTAAGTATTTATCCTTTATGTTTTCACAAAAAAAATTAACAAATTTTTATTAATAGCCTGTTTTATTTTACTTTTTTTTTTTGTTTCCTTAAATTGATCGCCGAACACCATTATTTCGTGTTGCTAATACCGAATCTGGATTCTTTAATTCCATTGCTAATTTATATCCGAGTTCTGGACGACGATCACGTCCTTCAACCATTGCTTTAACCTAGAATATTTAAAAGAGATAAAAAATATTGAATGTTTTCCTTTTTATAAAAAATTTTTGATAGCTAGTTGCACAATGCTTTATTATTATAAAATACAAAATGCATTGTCCTTTTGTTAAATTTATATTTTGCTTCGGATCCATAGAATAGATGAGTTTTTTATTATTTTGTTGGATTGTTGTTTTTCTTATTCTTATAAAATCGCATCGACTTAACTCCATTGTTAATAATATAAATGTGAAATGTTTTAAAGAAAAAATTGATCTTATTTAAAAAAATTAAATTGAAGATGTTGTATTCAAGCATTTTCATTATTATTTTCAGAACAATTTAAATTCATTTTTATCAAGTCGGAATCAAGTGCGACAGCAAACTGTTAAATTCACTAATCGTTAATTGCTTTGTTAAACGTGAGTTTTTTTATGAATTTCATTTAATCGCTGCTTGTAATTGAAATATTCAATTGAAACGTAGTAGTCCCACAGCACAACGTAGTAGTCTGGCAAAAATTATAGCCAGAATTTAGACAGAAAATTTATTTTTTAAAACTTTTCTAAAATCCGATTTTAAGCAGTGAAAAAGATCTGGAAAAGGTTCGTTTCTAATTGCTTATGGCTATCCTTTGGACAATTGCTGAACTAAACTTAGATTTTTGTTTTGCTATTGTAGTATAAAATATACTTACTTCATTCGAATGGGCGATTACACCATGACTGCTATTAACTTTTTCTTTTGTATTTTCAATGTCATTTAAATCAACACCACGGCAACAATCATCTATTAAAATTGTACGATAACCAGCAGATAAAGCATCAACTGCTGTTGCACCTGTTAATATAAATTAAATTTAATTAAAATAATTATTTTAACTATTCTGAATGTGAATTCTAAAAATTTAAGTGAACTTATATGGGAAAGAAAAAACAAAACAAACTTAAAAAGTTTTAAATTTTAGTTTTACCCTTTAAAATTTTTTCTTAATTATTTAATTATTTTCCATAATGCACCAATATTGGCGCGAACCTCAAAATGTATTTTTCGATTTAACTTAGAAATTTACAATTTTATATAGAAAACTTAATTGCTACTTCACTACGAATTGGAACACGTTAATAACAAAAATTATAAAAATAACATGTTTATGAAGCAAAAACAATAAGTCAGGCTATAAAATACAACTGAATCGTGTTTCAAGCACTCTGTATAAAATAAAAATTAAAAGTTTCCTTAAATAATAAAAACTTTTAATGCAAACATATTTAATATGTTGCATCGAATAAAAAATTTGATAACAGTAGAAAAATAAAACCTCATTTTCATCTTCCTTTTCTTATTAAACTATACAAAAAAAATAGGGTCTGTTGTCCATTTTTGCTCTTCAACCATATTTGTGTTGATGCTATTTTTAAATGGCTTAAAAACAATAATAATATTTTTATTTTATATGTTTTTTTTTTCTTAAATATTCCGGAAATAAAAATGAATATGTGCATTTACTTTTAAGTTCTACATGCGGTGCATAAATGCATTTTGTTAATGAAAAGGATATTATGCTTTTACTTTCCATTTTATATGAAAATAAAAAAAAAATAATAATTTTTTTCTTTTTCCCAATAAAATATGAAAAAATATTTTCTTACCAACGCAAACATCATAAGCTAATCCGCATACATATATATCTGTTGTTCCTTTCATTTTAAGCTGGTCATTTAATGTGGTTTCTGATAGTTTTTTGTTATCCCAAAATACTGAGTATGAATCGACTTCTGGATTTGTTCCTTTGTAAACTTTAATACCATCCTCTACAACCTGTCATATAACGTTAAACAAAATGTATGTATTTCATTAAAAAAATATAAATATACATATTTATATATATATATATTTTGAAACATAAAAATATAATGCATTTTACTACAAAAAATGCAAAAGTATTTTATATTGAAATTTCTGCATGCATGACGTACAGAAAGAAAAATTTATTATTCTGAATTCCTATTCAAGAAATATTCAAAAAAAAAAACTCATTTGGTCAGCTCATAATCGACCGCATGGTGTATTTTCAGAATAGTGCAAAATCATAAAATCTATTCTTAATAATTTTACAGATGTGTTACGCAAAGTCATGAAAATATTCAAAGAATTCAAAAATGTTAATTCGGCTTTTAGTGGAAGTTTACTTTTAGGTCCCCTTTTTTTGAGAAAAAAAAGACTTTGTTAGTTGTTGTCGTTGATAAACTGAATTTAAATATTGAATATAAGAATTAAAATAACAGATTTTAATGACATTCTTCGGATATTTTCTTATAAACAAAAATATAAATATGGCCGACAATAAAAATCTATAGTGTCCTGCACCTGATTTCGATGGAAATGCTGTGAGCTTGTCAAATTGTGAGGCCGAGCTAATATATTTACAAAATTTCATGAAAATTATTTTCTTAAAAAATATTTTGTAAAATATAAATTGTACCGTAGTAGAGATTCTGTTACTGAATAAGTCAATTCACCGTCGACCTGTCCAAAATGAACTCTGATATTAATATTCAATCAAAATTGTCTCATTAAATTTAGGATACATACGAGTGTATAAAAAGACAAACAGATTTCTTTCTAAAACTCTTGTTTAGTGATGCATTTACGTTGACGCAACACCAAAAACACTAAAATTGATTCGACTACACATCCTTCCTTATTTTATAAAATACAGTAGGTAACATTATATTAAATTGTACTATATATAAGTCTTATTGTCAACGCCTCAATAAATCAGCGGAAATTATTGTGATTGAATTTTCCGAATATTTAAATGTTTATAGCGTTCTCTCGAAGTAAAATTTTCGAAAGAAGATACACGTACAAATCATGATATTAAGTGAAATTATAAAAAAAAAACGAGAAAGAATAGAGTTGACCTTATCAACTCTGTGATACCCGTACGAATTTATTATCCTATGTGCAAATAAAGATGCCGTAACTGACTATGAGACAGACTATGACTTTAAGTTGCCGTATTACCATATTAATTTATGCAAAATTTCAGTACTCTGTTTTTCAAAATACTGTGTATGCTAAACTACTATTGAAGTTGTATGGCAGCTATCAGAAAGAGCCAAGAAATTTTAACGAATTTTATCAAGCACATCGGCCCCACTAATATATTCGCTTGTGTGAAATTTCAATATTACAGCTTTTATAGTTTCTTAGATATAGCCAAATAAATTTTGAAGTTGTACGGCAGCTACCCGAACCGGTACCCTGATCATGCCCAATTTAAATAGGGTTCTGGCACTTACTATAATCAATCATTTGTGAAAATTTGGTGCACTTAGTTCAATTAGTTTTTGAGTTATCGTTGGGACGGACGGACGGACGGACAGACAAAGGTAAATCAACTCAGAATTTGATCAAAAACATACACTTGAGTCTAAATCTAAGACCGTTATTTCTTAGCGTTACAAACGGTAAGGCAAATTTAGTATACCCTTCGAACATATGGTTCGTACGGGTATAAAAACAATAAAGTTGGGTCAAACCAATGGTTTGTATTGTAGCACTTTTCCCTTCAGCAAGTGAAAATTCTGCTTTTAAATACAGTCTATGTATACCTATCAAACTATTAAAATTATTTTCATTCATATACAAAACTATTTCTAGAATTGCATATATTTAGGATGACGCATATATGCAGTGTTTGAAATAAAGCAAAAATTAATATAAAAAGGGGTTAACATAATGCTCGATTTTAAGGTTTAATTATGTGAGTTAAGAAAAATAATTATATTTTTTAATTTCATGGAATTTACCGTTAGCTTTTTATGTTTATAGAAATTTGAAAAAGCTTGCGGTTTCGGAAATATAAGGTGTCAAAAATTCAAATTTTACAAATTTCAAGAGGCCATAACTTGAGAGGGGAAGGAGATGGAAAAAAATTTTCTTCTAACGAAATGAACTATTTGTTAATGTCTAAAAGCCCATAAAATTTCAAGCTTCTACAGGCTGGGGTCTAGAAAATAAACGACATCAAAAATTTGGAAAAAACGGACTTCAGATAACGGTAAATTTGAGCGGCCATTTTGTTTTTCTAAAGTTAACCTTTAGTATACCCCGCTAGGGGAAGTAAGCCACTGCCTTTCTGCGTTTGCAAAATTTGAAAAATCCTTATAGTTTCATTGCACTAAATAGTTAAAGAATGGCATTTTTAGGGTTTTGGGGGGGTATAACTTCTAAAGGGGGGGAGATAGGTAAAAATTTTGTTCCACGAAAATAAGTTTCTAGTAAAAATCTATGTACGTACAAAATTTCAGCTTTCTATCTTCAAGGGTGTAGAAGTTTTGTAAACAGACACACGGACGGACGGACGGACGGACGGACGGACGGACGGACGGACGGACGGACGGACGGACAGAGTGAAACTAATAAGCACTTTTTTTTCAAAAATTTTTTGGAAAAGTGCTAAAAATGAAACTGTTATACTAAATAGGAAATTCCTTCAGGGTATTTTAAATATAACAAAAATGACTGCATATTTTAACTGTTTCCTGATAACAGGATTTAAATGAGTACAGAAGTTTTAATTTTAATCCGATTACCAAAAACGCAAAATTTTTATGTGCATAAATGCTTTTTATAATACTCCTTTTTTATATCCGTTTGAAATGTTCCCGAATGGCATGCTATGCTAAATTCACCAATCTGTTTGTAACATGAAGAAATTGTGCTCTGAATTATAGAAGTTAAAAGCTCTTTTTAGTTCAGTTCACAAAAAAATTTTAAAGAAAATGCACGCTAGGTAATCTCAAAATATTCTATTTAATTTGGATGTAATAGAATGACTCAAGTAGCTGCCATACAACTTCAACTTCAAGTTTCAAGTTTCAAGTTTCAAGTTTCATACAGTGATCAGCGATCAATAATAATCTGTTTAATAGATTTATTTGAGATGGTTAGAGTTTCTAAAGTTGCAATTACAATAAATCAAATTTATACTAGTACACAATGTCAACTCATATATTAATTATTATACCTTAAGATCTTTATGTAATTCTGCACCCCATGAATCTTGTACACAATGTCTTGGCCACAATCTTTGTTTCATTGGTGGTGGACCAGCAAATATTACTGTATCATACACTTGGGCAGAATCTGCATCAATCTAAAATATAAAACAACAATATTTTTTTATTATAATAATGTCCAAATTAAATATGAAATTAGATTTTATATTGTAGAAACAAATTAAATTTTTACCGGTGATGTTTCATCTAATGGCCTCTTTTTAACGTTATCAATGAAAGAGACATGATCACTAGGATGCCAATCTAATGAATAAAATACTGCATCAAAATCCACTGTATCCAATAGATTATTAATTGGTTCAACAATCTTAAAATTAAGATAAAAATTTTATTTAAATTTACAATAGAATTAAAAAGTAATTATTATTCTAAATGGAAAACCATTTCACTCAAATACCAAAATTGTTGATTTAAAAATATTTAAAGAAAAATTTTCGTTAAATCGAAAATAATTTAAAAAATTTAATAAATCAACATTTTAGCGATGAAGGGCTTAATCTCTAATCGATTTGAAATTCAAAAGAAATTAAAGGTTCCATTGAACTGAACTAGAAAATCCCCTTGAAACTTACAAAAATTTGATTTATTCAATAACTTATTTATCTTAAATTTTGTTAAGTGTATATCTTTTATCTTTATCTTGTAACGGATTCATCTAATAAATTTGAAATTTTTTAGAGGTTTTCTTATTTTTTTATATTCAACTTATTTTATTTAAATATTTCAACAATTCAAAAATCCACTACCAATTACTATTCTACAGAGAAAACGTTATATGATCTCAACGTTATATGACCTTTCGGGGGCTGGAAGGTGGGACAATTTTATGAAAAAAAACTATGGATGGAGGGGGGGAGGGGTGGTGGCCGCAAATGAATATTTAATCCTCAAAAATCCCAGTTAAAAATATTTGGTTTCGACCAAAAGGGATTTCAATTTAAATGACCATATAACTTCCATAATATTATTAAATCATCTAAAAAAATTAATATGCAATTGAATGCTGAAAAAATTAGTTTCATTTGGGCCACCCAGGAATGATTTTTTTTCAAAATCTTTTAGCCCGCGAGAGATTATACGACATTACAGGTCCACCCTGTATACGCTAACAAAAATAAGTTATAAACATTTTGTTATTTAGCCTTACTACTTACAAGTATAGTAAATCTAGATTTTAGATTCTAATAGAAGTAGGTATATAATCGAATAAAAATTATAAATCGGAAATTAATTTAAATTAACCGATCTAACAGAGCTTTTCTTGGCTAACAGGTTAAAGAAATGCAAAACTTCAAATAAATTTTAATTCAAAAAAGCTTTTCTTTTTTTAAATTATTAAAAATATGAGATATTTTTCTTGCTATTAAAAAGTGTGGTAGATTTATACCAATTATCGCATTAATTTTATTTAAAAAAAATCACTTACCTCAACACCATTTTGTTGTGCACTACAATTGCTTATATCAAGAGAACCACTTATGAAATCATTTTGTACATCAACAACTAAGAAAGCATTCACCGGTCGCACAATCTTTAATGAAAATAATATAAAATTAAAAATTTTATAGGTCATTCTTGAAATTAAATATAAAATATACATAAAAGAAAAGAGGCAATAAGTAAATTTTACGAAATTATCAAATTTTACAATAATTACGCCCACTAAATGAATAATAGTTTGAAAAATAGATATATGGTATCGTCCCTCTAGTTTGAACTGAGATGTTAAATATGTTAGAGTCGGAATTCCGGGTAACAAACTGGGTGCTGTTCAAAATATCGCATTTGTGAACAGAAAACTCTCTTAAAATATTCCCAAAAGGCTTATAAAAGATTCTTAAAACAGCTATTAACTGATGTATAGTATCGCATACTGATCGCGAATAAAGATGTTTGATTACCGGCGGGACAATTACATGTGAAGAATTGCACCGCTAGATTAGGATTACTCTTTAATGTACCTTGTCGCAATATCGGAATACATAGGCCACAACAAACAGCTATGTACTATTTCTGTAAATGCCCGACATTTTATACAGTGAATTCGGTAACTGCCATTTGGGATCGCCGACGGTATTGTATTAGAAAATATTTTGAATTACAAAAATATGTGATAGACATGAAAGTATCACATCAATATCACTAAGACGACAATATGATTCTCAATATTGATCCTAATTCGGCATTAAAGAACAGGATTTTGTAAGATAGTGGTAATAAAACGAGACGATGGTACTAATTGCAACGTTGTTTCTCACTCTAACTGTAGTATAACATGTCCAATAACACTTAAAACCGAAAAATTTCCTATCTAATATCATTGAATAAAAATTGAACTATTTGATTTCCGTATATTTTCATAGTGTAGATAAATTTACCATTAAACCTTTGGTAAAGGCATATTTCATATTATTTATGTCCTATGTTTATTCAACATATAAACTTAAAATAATTATGCATAATTACTAGGTATCATGATATTTTAATTTATTTCTGTGCTCGAAGATAAAAATTTTCAATAAGATTATTAAAATGTTAAATATAACTATGCACTGGGTAATATGATGTAATTACAATTCAACCATGTAAACAGTGTACACATTATAAAATTAATGTGGTCTGGTTTTAATTTAATAGTGTATATAGAAGTCCTTGAACGCCTATACTTTCGGTACAATAAACAATAATATATATATTATCGCTGTAATAATACCATCGCTGTAATGGTATTTATTTTAATAACTCAATTTTAATTATTAAATTTTACTATGGTCATTCAAATATATATGATACGTATATGCATATTTATTAATTTAAAGTCAAATTACGCCTTCATTAAACACAAAATATTGTATTTTAATCGTATGTACACTTTGAATATACAAATGATAACCACAACAAATAATTTCAATGCTATATAGACAAACCACGCAAGTATATCTTTCCAAATGACCAATTTTGTTGTCATAAGGACAATAAATTAAAATTAAATATTAAAATTTTTGAAATTTTTAAAATTTGATTTTAAATCAGTGAATTCTCGTTTATTACTTATTACTGTCTTTTTAGTATATTATTTTCAAGTTCAAGTCTATAATTTGAATTAATTAAATTTATTCCATAATTTTTCAATTCAATACGACAATATTAATGAAATTAGGAAAACAAAAATGACAAAGAAAATTCACTGAATTTTATTTATTTTCCTCCATCCCGTCACTATTTTTTCATTCATCACTATAAATTTATTAAATCAATGATTATGTCAAAAGAAAAAGTAAAAAATTGTATAAGAATTTCATCTAATTTTTAATATTTTTCCAAATGCAATAGCAACCCAACATGCAAAAATTCTGTAATAAGTAAGCGATTAGTTTTTATTGTTTAACAACTTAGAAAAGGAAGGGTAAGAATAGTTAATATAGGTAACAAAATAATATTTAAATGTGAGACTGGAAACTAAGAAAAAGAATTTTTTCAATTTTTAGCACATTTCCAACAAAATCAGAAACACATGTGGCTAGTTAGTTTTATTTTGTCCGTAAATTGTAGCAACCAGTCTCTTTTTCCTTAGAATTATGGCTTCAATAAATCACATAAATTTTTTGATGACTTATTCTTCTGTAATTACAAATATTTTTTAGTTTTTCAGTGTTTGCAGCGAAATAGCTATTTTCTCCTTTCCAAAAAATAAACTTTGATTCTAATTGTTATATTAAACTCGCGTTTTTTTTTTTTTTTAATTTTTCACATCATTTTTCTCTGAAACGGTTAGGTGAAAAAGTGTCTTTTTTACCCCAAGTCTCCACTCTCCAAGCTCGCAAAATTGAAGTAATTTTAATTTAAGGCCCATTATTATATCTAAACTGTAATCCCTCCAAACTTCATTGAAAATAAAAAACTAAAAATAACGTTGTTTACTTTAAGCGATTTAAATATCAGTCATTCAATCTTTATGTGGAAGTTTCTTTTAATTTTCATTATAACCCTAAAAGTATGCAATAGTCTTTTATTGATTAATATATAATTTTTTTCGATATTTTTATATTGCTGAGAATAATGTTAGTGTAAAAAATGTATTTAAACAAAAAAAATATTTTCCATTGTTCATAGGAAATATGCTGCTTTACAAACTATTGATTGCATCCAAATTTATTTTTACAAAATATTTTTACTTTTTTTTTTTACAAAATATTTCTTTTTTATTATACATATTTTTAGTTAGCACAAATGAACAATTGAATGATAAATTGAACTGAAACATTGACAAGTCAGAACGTTTGGTTTTTCAAATATGAACGTAAAATTATATAATAATAATAAATACCGCATTTTTATAAGGTGATTTGGATTAAATTCTTAAATTATTGGCAAAACATTCGGTCAACGCCATTCGAATTACAGCCACTCAAGAGAAAATCATAAAAAATTTTCATTGAGTTTTGTAACAAAATAACCATCAATATTCATAAAGTAAAATTTATATCGTAAATTTGACACTGAGAAAAAAAATTGAAAAAATTATGTAAAACTTTATTTTTCTTTTGAACTTTAAATTTAACACTTTTAAAATTCACTAATGTAATTTTCATATAGAATAAATAATAAATAATATTATTATTATAGATTTACTGAATATTCTAAAAATATTATAACTTAAATATATTTGAATCAATTTAATGGTTTGTCGAAAAGAGCATTTTACACAAAAAAGCTAAAATACTTCATGCTTAAAAAAAGCAATTTATCAAGTAGCCAGCACTTTAATACAAACCTTACAAAATTTTGAAAATTAAATATTGTTTATGAATATCGTAAATTGTTGTTGTTTTCTAAATAGTTATATTATTTAGTTGCATTAATTTTTTCAGTCCGATATATTTGAATTTATTGGAATTGTTCTTGAAAATCGCATGTTAATTGGGTTTTTCTTGTTCTTTGGTTGGTTTTATGTTCTCATTTTTCATAGTGTACACAATATGCATTCTTTTTAACATTGTAATAAACCCTATGTATTAATTTTAAGTGAAGGAAAAAATAATTTCAAGTATATACTATTCATTATATTTAAAATGAAAGAATAATTTTAAGTAGAGAAAAAATAAGTGAAAAAAAATAGAGAAAATAATAATATGAAAGCAAAATATTACGAAATTCTCTTCTATTATAAATTTTGTTTGAAAAAGAATTCCATAGGAAAATAATAAAGTGTCCTAATTGAATTATTTTCTAATAAATCCAATTTCATTTGTAGTTTTAGATAAAGAAAAAAAAAAAAGAGATTCTTGAACGCAATTTATTATTATTGCCAAGTGGAATAAAAAATGAAAATGATGACAGAAAGTAGATAATAGAATAAGCAATTGAAGTCTAACGAAAAGCTTACTTGCATTCTTATTACATGAGTATGTACGAATATAAGAAAGGATAATAGAATGATGATGACAAAGATGATAATGATAAAATGATAATGATTGTGATAATGATGATAAAAAGACGACGATGACCCCTTTTTATCACACAAATTAAATTTGAAAGGTATAATAAATTTTAGATGATTTTATACAACGAAAGTGCCATGAAATGTTTATACGAAAAAGGAATATTATATGGTAAAAATATTAACATGTGGAATCTAAAAAATAATATCTACAAGAATATTATACTAGTAAGCATTCATGTAAAAATGCACCAGTATGAATACACCATCTACTTATTTGATACAAATTCAAAATTAAGAAAATTAAGGATGATCTAAATTTTGAAAATGATCTAAGTTTGTTTGGAAATTTCGAAATTCTTTTATTGCCGATAAAGCAATTGTAATGTTCATATTATTGCAATTGAAACTTTGCTTATAGTTGGATACGAAAATAAATATATTTCAAAGAATATAGCCTTTATTTATATTAGGCCAAAACTGTACAGCATTTAATTGTATTTAAAATTAATTTAGATCATTTTTAAAATTAACCACATAAATCATATTTAAATAGAATATAAAATGAAAGTATAAATTTCGAATCGAATTAAAAAATAAAAAAGAAAATGAAACAAACAATTTGGCAATTTCTAAGCCAAAGGTTCACAAATGACTCCATTTTTAACAAGTCAATTTTGGCTGACTTTTGTATCACAATCCACCACTATCATTGTTTGTGTTTAATATCACTAAATTGAGCTTCCAGTCTCTTTAATCATTTATATAGAATTTGCATAGAATTTATTAACTGACACAACAACTAATAAATTTTATGTATTTGCTTTTTCAAATTGAGGTCCCAAAGCGAACGAAATTTTTTTTTTCTAATTTTATTTTATATAAGAACTTTTTAATTTACTTGAACCTCTACAATTTAAATTGAAGTTAAGAACATTAAAAATAAGAAAATTGTTATACAAAAAATAATTGAAAAAATAAATTCAATTTCGATTCGACTGAAAGAGGGTGAATTTCCAAAGATTGTTAATAGTTAGAAAATATACAAGTGGGAAACAAAAAAGAAATATTTTAAAATTTTCAAAAGCAAT